CTTCGACTTTATCTTTCCATAGTATTCGCGGCCTTCCCCTTCTGCGTGAACCATCAGCTAGTTCGCTTTTATATGCCTTCTTGGGTGGAGCATCTTCATCCATTCTCACAACATGACCTAGCCAACGTAGTCGCTGCAGCTCAATACGTCTAACAATGTCGATGTCCGAGAATAGCTGGTACAACTCATGGTACATTCGATGGTGATATTCATCGTCAACGCAGATCGGCCCATAGATCTGTCGGAGAATTTTTCTCTCAAACACTCCAAGAGCTGCCTCATCTGCTTGCGTAAGTACCCATGCTTCAGATCCATATAACAGCACGAGTAGTATCAGCGTCTTGTAGAGTGCGAGTTTGGTCTGGCGGGAGGTGGCCTTGCTTTCGAGACCATAGTAGCATCTGTTGGCCATGACTATACTTCTCCGAATTTCAAAACTGATGTCATTCGTTTTGTTTCTGGGGGTATCAAGGTATATAAAATCTTTGAATACCTCGAAGCTGTAGTTCTCCAGTTCCACAGTTGGTCCGAGTCTGTTGGACGTCTTGCACGTTGATACCATCAGCTTAGTCTTCTCGCCGTTTATTGCCAGACCCAGACTCCTTCTCAAATTGTTGAAAGGTGGCTTTTACCGCTCTCAGTGTTCGACCCATTATGTCGATGCCATCGACGTAGGCGAGTAATATGTGTTGTTTGGTATACAGAGTGTCATTTCTGTTCACTTTTACCTCTTGTATGACCTTTTCCAGCAGGATGTTAAAAGGTCACACGACAAACTGTCACCTTGTCTGAATCCTCGTTCGGTATAAAAGGGCTCCGAAAGGTCTTATCCGACTTTAACTGCTGATCTTGTGGCAGTTAAACTTATCCTGTATAGCCGAATTAATTTTGCAGGAATGCCAAACGCAGACACGGCTTTAAACACCTCTGAACGAATAGGGCTGTCGAATGCGGCTTTATAGTCGACAAATAGGTGGAATGTGTCGATGTGTTTTTCGTAGGTTTTTTCAGGATTTGCCAGGACTGAAGCCGCATTGATATGGTCCAATAATATCATTGACCATTGGCTTCAATCGTTCATACAGCACACTGGATAGTACTTTATATGCGATGGGAAAGAGACTTATTCTCCTATAATTGGCACATATCGTCTCGTCTCATTTTTTGTGCACGGGACACAGAATGATGAGGTTCCAATCGTTGGCCACGCATTTTTCTAGCCAAATTATACTAATCAGCTGGTGCATGCTCCTGACCTGCATATGACCACCAGTCTTGAATAGTTTGGCTGGTAACCCATCGGCACCTGCTGCTTTATTGTTCTACAGCCGCCATCTATTATTGGTTCTGGGGTATCCTCTTCGCCGCTACTATTTGATACCAAAAGCTTTTCAAAATGCTCCTTCCAGATCTCAGCACGCTGCCTGTATCTGTCACCAGTTTTCCTCCTTTATTTCTACAGGAGGATGTGCCTGCACTAAAGCTTTCGGTTTGGTGTTTTACCCGTTGGTAGTCATTCTGACTCCTGTACATCTCGATTTGCTCACGCTCACGTTTTTCTTGTTCTTTATTCCTTTTTTTCAGATGATACGTTTCTCCTCTCTCCTCTTCTCCCGATAGTTCTCCATCGCATTACCTGTTGGTACTGTCCGCAGGGTTGCCCTATACGCTGCGTTTTTCATATCAGTAGCATTACGACACTCCTGATCGTACCACGGATTTCTTGATGGTGGTCTTTGGTACCCAAGTGTTGTATTCGCAAGAAGTACTATACTAAGTAGTATTGGGAAAAATGTTTTTAAGAAATTGAGTCGAGGATTTTTTTTAATATTTTCCAAATGCCTAAGCCTTCAATTTCACCCTCTCCTTATGTTTTCAAATATTCCTCCCTCTATCCCTTGCATAATTTTCCATATTTATTTATGCAAATAACATTTAACGGGAGTTCTTAATTATTATTTTATTTTGTTTTTGTTTATGATCTAATAAAAAATTATTTAATTTTTAAAATATTCATCAAACTATGTTTATTTAGTGAAATTTACATACACACACACATACATTAATATGTATGTAAGTATGTGTCTATTTCAGACAATCATCAAAAAATCATCAATAAAAATTTTGTGTAATTTTTTGGGGGACTTTTTGTTGTTGGCATCATCAATAATTAATTAACTAAAAATGCTAAATTAAATATTAGTCAATTAGAAAGAAGAGAAAAAAACTTTTGAAAACTGTGCTGGGGATAAATGGCTTAAAATGTGAAATTGATGGAAAATTTATAATGAATTATTATTTGTTTTTTTTTTTTAATTTTTTTTTTTTTTTTTTTTGTTAGGTCACATTGGTAAGGGATTTGTCACGTACAATTGTAATCTGAGGGGGCTTAGGTGATGAATTTTCAAAAAAAAAATATTAAATAAATAAAATATTGGTGGGGAAACTAACTCACCTAATAACCAGTAATTCTCGGAACATAAGAGGTAGACAATGCGGTGGAATTTAAAAAAAAAAAACAGTAAGAAAAGCAGAAAAGTCGGACGGGGCCGACTATATGATACCCTTCACCACTTTGGGTATATTCAGAAGATGGAATCCTAACAGACGTCGCATAAGGGACCTATATTTAAATCTAAACCGATTTTCAGGAAATTCAACACACATCATTCTAGACCTAATTCATTACGCTAGGCCAAATTTCGTGCAAATCGAAAGATATATAGGGACTTTGGTGCACCATTTACCTTAAATCGGACGAATATATATATATGGGAGCTATATCTAAATCTGGACCGATTTACACGAAATTTAACACACGTCATTCTAGACTTAATTCAGTACGCTTTGCCAAATTTCGTGCAAATCGAAAGATATATAGGGACTTTGGTGCACCATTTACATAAAATCGGACGAAAATATATATGAGAGCTATATCTAAATCTGAACCGATTTTCACGAAACTTGGCAGACATCACTCCAGGCTCAATTCATTACGTTGTGCCAAATTTCGTGCAAATCGAAAGAAGTATAGGGTCTTTGGTACACCATGTACATTAAATCGGACGAAAATATATATTGGAGCTATATCAAAATCTGAACCGATTTTCAGGAAACTTAGCACACATCATTCTAGACCTAATTCATTACCCTGTGCCAAATTTCGTGCAAATCGAAAGATATATAGGGACTTTGGTACACCATTTACTATAAATCGGACGAAATATGTATATGGGAGCTATATCTAAATCTGAATCGATTTTTCCCAATTTCAATAGGGTTCGTCCTTGGGCCGAATAAGTGACCTATGCCAAATTTCATCCAATTCGGATCATAAATGCGACCCGTACTTTATTTACAATTTAAAATGGGCGGACAGACAGACGGACGGACGGACATTCATAAATCGACTCAGAAAATGATTATATGCATATTCTCAAAAGGAACCATGTGTCTATCTCGCTTCCTTTTGCCTGTTACAAACATATGCACAAAGACATAATACCCTGTACCACAGGGTATTATTTCACTGTAGTGAAGGATATAAAAATTTGGTTAGTTTGCCATAACTTCAAAGGTTTTTTCTGTATATTTTCTGCGGTCTTCTGAGGTCCTAGGACTCATTTATAGAAAATTAACAAAAATAATTGGAAAGGACATACCTTAGTCTCGTGTGCTTTTCAGAACCCTAAGTTTTAAATTGATTTCAATTAAATCCACAGTCATTTGGGGAAATGCTATGCAATTTCAATGGTCCCAGATTCTACGTATAAATAATCGCCAATCACAACATCGGTAATAAATTATGAATGGCTCAAAAACTCTGCAAGAAACTTCGAGATCTTTAACACTTAATAATAAATTTTTAAAGGCTTCACACTCGGCTCATTGGATCTCTATATCTATGATGCATGGTTGTTGAAGGATTGAATCTAAATCCTTTTGAAGGAACTTGAAGGCCTAAGGAGCATGCATAGCCCCTATCTGGAACCTAATGGGCCCTACCCGCCATATTAATAGGATTTAAGCTTCGTTGCTGCAATTTCAGACATCTGGAACCTAATGGGCCCTACCCGCCATATTAATAGGATTTAAGCTTCGTTGCTGCAATTTCAGACATCTGGAACCTAATGGGCCCTACCCGCCATATTAATAGGATTTAAGCTTCGTTGCTGCAATTTCAGACATTGAGCATCCTTAACTACCCTCAGCTCCCTTTAAGGTCATTATCAAACCCAATTAGAGATCAGCTTCCCCTATCCTAAAACCGAAAACCTAATGGGGCCCATATCCCAAATCTAATGGGTCCTACCCGCCATATTAAAAGGATTTAAGCATCGTTGCTGGAATTTAAGACACTGTGGAGCCTTAACTACCCTCAGATCCCTTTAAGGTCCTTATCAAACCCAATTAGAGATCAGCCTCCCCTATCCTAAAACCGAAAACCTAATGGGGCCCCATATCCCAAACCTTATGGGTCCTACCCATATTAATAGGATTTAAGCTTCGTTGCTGCAATTTGAGACACTGAGGAGCCCTAACTACCTTTAGATCCCTTTAAGGTCCATATCGAACCGAATTAGAGATTAGCTTCCAGCATTCTATGATTAAACATTTTTAATTCAAGGTTCAATTTTTGTTTTCATTTTGTTTCTAAACTACACATCCTTTAAAGAAAAATATCCTAAAAAAAATTTAGCTCTAAGGCAACACAACATCTCTCATCAATCTGACAATGTTGCAGAATTTTGCTTTAACTTGATACCTTAGAAAAAGAAGAAGAAGACGACGAACAAGAACAATCACCAAAAGGAAGGAAAAAAAATAACAAACCGAACTACATTGAAGGTTATCAGTTGGGGTCAATTGAAAAAGTTTTCAATTCTTTTACTCGGCCTCTCTGTAGTCCGCATTCTCGTTAGCCACAAAAAAAACATCAGCAGAGGCAGAATAAAAACCCCGACCTGCCCTGCATTTTGTTGAAACGAAAGAAAACTTACCTTGATCTGATTTCCGCATTGGCCAGTTCATTGCGTGGATAGGGCTTTGAGGCGGCCACTGCTGTTTCCAATGCTGTGGTATCATCCAATTCACCCTCAAGCGTTACAAAAATAATGGAACCCATGGCCGTGTATATAAGGACCAATATCAGAACACCTTAACGAGAAGAAGAAGAAGAAAACAAGAATAAGAAAGACAAGATAAAAGAGAATTGTTAAAATTTATATGAAAAGTGATATCCGTTTGGGGTTTGTTGTTATTTCTTAAGGCTCACAAACACACATCCTTTGCTCAGTCACAGCTCTTCCCCCTCTCACTCCCTCCATGCCTCTCTTTGTGCTTTCATTTCTTTTATTATGAATCATTAATCACAAATCTCCAAAAAGTCATATTTTTTGTGATGCCCAAAGGATGTGTGGGTGTGTATGTGTATCTTAGTGTATCTGTGTGTGTACCTACCTGTGGCGGATATGCAATGTGACTTGGGTGCTTTATGACAGCCGCACAGCCCCGTATTCCCCACATTTGCCTGATGATGCTGGTCACGCTGTTGTTGTTTCTCGCTTTTGGTCGCCGTTGCCGCCGCCGCCGAAAAACACATTGAATTTGTGGCCGTCGCTGTGGCGTTGTTGGCCGCAATTGAGGCGGCATTTGTTTGTGGTCCGCCAATGAATGCCGTTATGGGCAATGGCGGTTTTTTGTTCATAATCGCTGCAGCAGAAAAATAACAATAAACCGCAAATCAATTGTTATGATGGCCCAGCTTTGTTGGTGCTGTAATAAAATTGTCCTTAAGAATGGAGAAACGAAGCCGAAAAAAATGCGGAGAAATTCTCGTTCGCTCGCTCGCTGGTTCGTCCTGTTGTTATATTTCACATTTATTTACACACACAAATCATGGTGATGGTGATTTGGCAAGCAATGATTATTAGTATTGGGGCGATAATGACGATGACGATGTCTGTGGCGATGATGGGCAAATTGCAATACCCGGCTGTTATGGCCTCCAATTGTCTGATGAACGCATCCAAATCGTTTTTACTGCTGCCTTAGGACGTTATATATGTGTGTGTAATTCAATAGCTGTAAATAATCAAAAAGAAGAAGAAGAACAAGAAAAATATGAAATTAGAATCTGGTCCACTTTTTTTCTTTGCAATTGGAAACAAAATACAGAGGAAAAAATATGGTAATATATTGGGCGCCATAATAGGCAACAATAGAACAAATGTTGAATTTTATTATTAATATGATTTGGATATTTATTATCACAGGAATTGTGTGTCTCTATGGTGGAGGAAAAAAAATCTGGATTTTTTTTAACAATATTTTTTTCGAGTACTAGAATAGGCCTGAATTTTCTTAAAATATTTCTTCGAATACTACAAGAGCTGCGGATTTTCTAAAACCATAGAAAAAATCCACGTCTTTGTTCGAACCCCAAAAAATATATTTTTAAACAAATCCACGCATCTCTAAGGACCGTAAGAAATATTTTTAAACAAATCCACGCCTCTCTAAGGACCCTAAAAATATTTTTAAACAAATCCACGCCTCTCTAAGGACCCTAAAAAATATTTTTAAACAAATCCACGCCTCTCTAAGGACCCTAAAAAATATTTTTAAACATATCCACGCCTCTCTAAGGGTCTAACTTTTTTTAAATTCACGCTCCTCTAAGGGTCTAAAAACATTCTTAAAAATATTTTTAAAAAATAAACTCCAATGTTTTGGACAAAAAAAATTCCCAAATTTCTTGTAAGGTCGGGAAATATTTTGGGGGTATCCCATAGGTACAAGAACTTCCATGGAAGCAACAACACGTCTCACGACCTCAACAATATGTCCTGTTTCTCCTTTTTATACCCATCACCACAGTGTGGTACAGGGCATTATGTCTTTGTGCATATGTTTGTAACAGGCAAAAGGAAACGAGATAGACCCATTCTTCCTTTTGAGAATATGCATAGAATCACTTTTTAAGTCGATTTATGCATGTCCGTTCGTCCGTCCGTCTGTCCGTCCGTCCATCTGTTGATGTTAGATTGTAAACAAAGTACAGGTCGCATTTATGATTCGAATTGAATGAAATTTGGCACAAGTCACTTATTTGGCCCAAGGAAGAACCCTATTGAAATTGGGGAAAATCGGTTCAGATTTATATATAGCTCCCATACATATGTTCTTCCGATTTGATGTAAACGGTCTTTATATATCTTTCGATTTGCACGAAATTGTGCATAGTGTACTGAATTAGGTCCAGAATAATGTGTGCTGAGTTTCGTGAAAATCGGTTCAGATTTAGATATAGCTCCCATATATAGTTTCGCCCGATTTTTGGTAAATGGTGTACGAAAGTCCCTATATATCCTTCGATTTGCATGAAATTTGGCATAGGCTATTGAATTAGGCCCAGAATGATGTGTGCAAAGTTTCGTGAAAATCGGTTCAGATTTATATGTAGCTCCCATATATAGTTTTGTCCGATTTTATGTAAATGGTCCACCAAAGCCCCTACATATTTTCGATTTTCCCCAAATATTTGCGTGAGGTACTCAGTTGAGTCTAGAATGACGTGTGCCAAATTTCGAGAAAATCGGGTCAGATTTATATATAGCACCCATATATATTTTCGACCGATTTAAGGTAAATGGTGTACCAAAGTCCCTATTTATCTTTCGATTTGCACGAAAGTATGCATAATGTTTTGAATGGAGTCTAAAATGATCTATGTTAAGTTTCGTGAAAATCGATCCTGATTTAGATGTAGCTCCCATATATATTTTTGTCCGATTTAAGGTAAATGGGGCACCAAAGTCCCTATATACCTTTCGATTTACACGAAATTTGGCAAACCGTACTGAATTGAGCCTAGAATGATGTCTGCTAAGTTTCGTATAAATCGGTCCAGATTTAGATATAGCTTCTATAGTTTCCCATAGTTTCGTCCGATTTAAATCAAATGGTGCACCATTCCCTATATATCTTTCGATTTGCACGAAATTTGGTATAACATACTGAATTGAGACTAGAGTGATGTCTGCCAAGTTTCGTAATAATCGGTTCAGATTTTAATATAGCTCACATATATATTTTCGTCCGATTTAATGTAAATGTTGCACCAAAATCTCTATATATCTCCATCAAATTTGGCATAGAGTACTGAATTGAGTCTGAAATGAGAATTAGTTTCGAGAATATGGGTTCAGATTTAGATATAGGTCCCACATATATATTTCTGTTCGATTTTATGTAAATGATGCACCAAACTCCTAATGTTTGTCGAATTGATACGAAATTTTCCACAACCTACCACATATATTTCGAACGGGTGTCTAATTGAGACTATATTTTTAACCGTTCGGCATACTGAGTAGCGTGTATCAAGTTTGCTATAAATCGATTTTCATAAATTTGTCCCATTGACATGAAATTGTTGGGATACGTAAGAACAATATACATAAAGTGGTAAGGGGTATCATATTGTCGGCCCAGTCCGACTTTACTACTTTCCTTACTGGGTTTCTTTTCTAAAATCTGTCAATTGCCTTTAATTTCTGACCTTACAACCAATTTACATTACCTAGGCATGCACTCAAAGATCATCCGACCTCCCTCTTACCACAGAGGTACACCCACACACACATTTGGAAGAGTGAAAATAAAATTAAATTGTTGCTGTTGTTGAAAATTGTTGCCATTAAGAAAATGTTCACACGTCCAGTTGACAGATGCTTTTAACAGCCAGACGGAATGACATTTAATTTTACTAGGTGAGAAAAATAATTTCTAAGAATTTGCCTTTGAAAATAAGAAATAAAAATCGAGGGCTGGGGAAGTAAATTTTATTGCGAAAAAAGGTTCTCCTATATTTTTCAGACATTTTAATTTAGGTATTTTTGTTCGATTACACCCTAATGTCACTGGGTTTTTTTCTCGGTTAAATCCTAAAACTAACATGTGTTTACTCCAATGTCCTTAGGTTTTGTCAATAAAACGTCAGCTATCACAAAGCAGCAACAGCAACAAACAGCAGTGACTATTTCAAATCCCAGCACCATGCAAATAACCCAAAATATCCACAACAGCAACAACAACAACAAAAATCAGAACAAAGAGTCAACCGGAAAAATCAAAAAAGGCAGTCAACCAATCAACAGAACTAAAACACCTTTATCCTTGACAGTTATATGACACACACAAACACACACACACACAGAACGCTTGCAAATGGTGGGATATCCTTGGCCGAAACGCATTCGAATTATGGGAGTATGCCAGAGAGAGAGGGAATGGAGAATATTAGATGGATTTACATTAACGGTAAAGCTGACCAAATTGAGTGAAACTGTTGACACATGAAATGGAAATGTGCGACCAAGGGACAGAGAGACAGTGAGTGCTCGTGTGTGGGTGGGTGTGTGTGTGTCTGTGACATGGAATACGAAAATCTATGTCATAGCTAAAATAACAACAACTACTATGGTGGGGAAAATTCAATAAATCTAGGCGATTTATGTTTGAGTGTTGTTGCTGCCTTCGTTATTTTGACAATTGTATTGGCATTTTGTGGCAAAATAAGATTGAATGTTGCCAAAATAGAAAAAAAAGTAATTTAATAACTGCGATGTGATGAGATAGCCAACGAGAGGGAATTGAATGAAAGAGAGAACGTTAAAATAAAAATTAAAGATGTATCAGAAATATAACGATATACCATAAGGCACACGCCTTATTGTGACCTCAAAAAAAAAAAAAAATTAAAAAATCCACGCCTTATTGCGGGCTCAGAAAAAAAAATTAAAAAATCCACGCCTTATTGCGGGCTCAGAAAAAAAAATTAAAAAATCCACGCCTTATTGCGGGCTCAGAAAAAAAATATTTAAAAAAATCCACGCCTTATGGTGACCTCAGGATTTAAAAAATCCACGCCTTATTGTGGCCTCAGAAAAAAAATTAAAAAATCCACGCCTTATTGTGACCTCAGGATTTAAAAAATCCACGCCTTATTGTGACCTCAGGATTTAAAAAATCCACGCCTTATTGTGGCCTCAGAAAAAAATATTTAAAAAATCCACCCCTTATTGTGGCCTCAGAAAAAAATATTTAAAAAATCCACCCCTTATTGTGGCCTCAGAAAAGAAACTATTTAAAAAATCCACGCCTTATGGTGACCTCAGGACCCCTTTGGTGGCCTCAGAAAAAAAACTATTTAAAAAATCCACGCCTTATGGTGACCTCAGGACCCCTTTGGTGGCCTCAGAAAAAAAAACTATTTAAAAAATCCACGCCTTATGGTGACCTCAGAACCCCTTTGGTGGCCTCAGAAAAAAACTATTTATAAAATCCATGCCTTATGGTAGCCTTAAGAAATAAAATATTTAAAAAAAATCCACGCCTTATAGTGACCTCAGGATCCCCTTGGTGGCCTCAGAAAAAACTATTTAAAAAATCCACGCCTTATGGTGACCTCAGGATCCCTTTGATGGCCTCAGAAAAAACTTTTTTAAAAATCCACGCCTTATTGTGGCCTCAGAAAAAAAACTATTTAAAAAATCCTCGCCTTATTGTGGCCTCAGAAAAAAAATATTTAAAAAATCCACGCCTTCTGGTGACCTCAGGACCCCTTTGATGGCCTCAGAAAAAAGCTATTTAAAAAATCCACGCCTTATGGTGACCTCAGGACCCCTTTGGTGACCTCAGAAA